CCATTCAGGTTTTATTTTTTAACTCCCTTAACCAATGCCGAGTTGTCCTCCAACTCACATACTCACTGTCCAGGGAATCCAGCATTGTCCTTCTATGATCCCCATTCTGCTACCATGTACCAGGTTTCGTGCCGCCATCTTCTTCCCTGACATGATTGGGAGCCGGCTGTCTCCTCCGGGTACAGGCAGCCAGTCCCTGATGACGTGCCACCAGGCCCTTCTTCACCGTCCACTGTATGGAAGTCGTTGCCTCCCGAGATATTTGACTTTCATATCCCAGGAGGCACCAGGAGCCGAGCACATCATTCTTGCCCAGGCAGGAATGGAGAATGGGTGTTGGGCCGGATTGTGGATTTAAAGAAAAAAGAACAACCCAAAAAAAGGAGGGGGGTTTCATGTTGTTCATGTAGGAGGGTTTAAGGAGTATGTTATTTCTCTGGGTGAAGGTCCGCTTTACGTAGACCTAGCATGAGATTTTTCATTAGGTATGCACCGATACCGAGTATTTGGGCGAGTACTCATACTCGCCCAAATACTTTGATAGTTACCTCCGATACCGGAACTTCCAGTCAGAGTGAGATATCCCTCTGACCGGCACTGCCTTCAGGGCATGGAGCCGGCTTCCTGATTCCAATCAGAAAGCCGGGGTGGTGGGTTATGAGCAAGGCTGCCTAGCAACAAGAGAAGCCGGCTTCCTGATTGGCTAGGTCATGATCCGCCACCCGGCTTCGGGATTATCGGAGTGCACGGCACCGGTATCCGTACTCGATACCGAAAAAATGATATCGGTGCATCCCTATTTTTAAAGGAGAACTATGGGGTTAAGGCTTTTCCCCATAGTTCTCCTTAGGGTAACGGGAGGACACAAACTAGCGTCCTCCCGTCACCCTAGGCTCAGTATAGCTCGCAGTATACTAAGACGCTGAAGCGGATCCCTACAATTATGTCTGTATCCGCACCCCCCCCCCCCCATAGTTCTCCTTTAAATTATGCATGCCACAGTGTTGCAGCCTGATCACTGGGGGAGAAAAAACTGAGGAAATGCTCCCTCCTGTCTGCAGCAGACTGATGACATAATCTCAGCCTAAGCACAGTCACTGGCCATAAGATTTTGATTGTCCACACTAAGATGAAGGCCGTCTAGGTGGGGAGCTTATACACATAAGTTCTAATTAGACCGATTTTTCTAAAACGCTGACACGCGAAGATGTAAAATTTGGGGTGAAGATTCCACTTTCAGTAGTTGTTTGGATCCCTTTTTTGTTTTACATTGTGACAATGCATCTTCTGGTACAGCGCGATACTTGATGGGTCAGTTGTATTTTGTATGCAGAAGCCCCGGTCACGACACCCATGCAAGGGTTAACGGAACCCGTCCAGTGACATTCCCCGCTGTGAAGACTGTTGATTGGTAAACGCTGTGAGATACACTGTATATGGGGGTTTCTCTTTTGAAGTCGGGATCAATCATGAAAGATTTTGGTGTCTAGGACCTCAGCATTGTTTTGCCGTTTCTTGAGATTTCCTGCAATGTTCTTTGTGATCCGAGGTTGTCACATTTTGGCAGAATTTTTTTTTGTGTGCAGTATTTGGAGCTGTGGGTGAGCTCGGGGTCTGCAATGACGGAAAATAACCAGTTCAGCTCTCCTGTGACACCTGTGCGTCCCCTATTGTCAGGGACCCAGGGGGGCCGTTCCTCACCAGGCTCGCCGACGCGGGCATCGGGCACAGGCTGCTCCTCCTGGCAGGGCATCTGGCGCCGGGTACGCGGTACGCAAGCTGGGCGCGCATAGTGCGCCTGCGCCATCCCACATCCCAGCCTTGTGATTGGCTCCTGACTGGGGAAGCTTCCTGGTTGCCCTGGCAGCCAGGGGGCGGTCCTGAGTTCCCTGTGTATATAAAGCTGGTCAGAGCCTTGACTCATTGCTGAGTTATTCTACCTCATGGTGAACACCCGGCTCCCTCCTGTGGACCTGTTGTTTGATCTGATTTCCCGGTTACCGACCCTTTCGCTTGACCCATCGATGATTCTTGCTGCCCGCCACGACCCGGAACTGGACTTAACTACTCGATTTAGATTACCCTTTTGTGCTGCGCTTTTGGACATATTTTGTCCCTGCCAAGGGGTTCCACACCCGGCCCATTATCTCAGCCCTGACACCTATGGACCGGAGTGATTATTTCAGCTCTGCTATTGGGCCTGTTTATAGGGCAATAACTTGATAACAAAGTAATACGTGTATCTAAAAATTTTAATTTTTTTAAATAATGTGAATAGAAAGTATCAATTATATTCTATAATTTTGTCCTTTTTAAAATGACACTAAAACTATTTCTCGTACCAAACATTGGAAGAGGTATCTACTAGGGATGCACCGATACCAGTATTTCGGTATCGAGTACGAGTACCGACATTTTTTTTTTCCGGTACTCGCCGGTGCCAAATACCGGAAGTCCCATTCAGTAAACCAGACGGCGTGTAAAGACTCCCCCCCCCGGCTCACTGATTACCGGGGAAGCCGTCCCCATGCTTCTCGTCACTACGTAACAACAAAGCATAGAGCCGGCTTCCTGGTACCGGAAGTATCGGGCGAGGCATCGGAGTATTTGGGCAAGTACTCGTGTACTCGTTTCAGCTGATACAACAGGTCCATTATATGTGGTCGGTTCGTTAGTCTTGCTGATGAGGCTACAAGGATGATTTGATAACTCGTGCTCATGGTAACCCTCTGTCTGGGGGCTGTTTCTTTCTATGGAGTTCCCAGGGGAGGAGATCTATAGAAGCAGATGGAAGGAAATGAGAGCATCTTGCACCTGTGTCTCGGTGAATGTATAGCTGGGTGGGGCGGAGGCCTGAGCCTACAATAGGAGGTGGATGTGGGAGCGTGGTTTGGCAGTGTGGGCTCTGAGCACGACGGTATTAACCAGGTGTTAGATGTGTGGACGTGTCCCAGTGATTCACATCAAATGCCGGAGTATGGGAAGTTCCGGGTCACAGAATCCCTGTAGCACCTGAGGCCTGACATGGCGATTAGGCCGGACAGGGAAGACATTAGTTGGGTTTGCTTACTAATCCGAAGGTTCCCTTGTCACGGAAGGCACGCCATTAACTTGACATGGGCGGCCAGCTTGGCTTTCACATGCAGAGACTCTACACTGAGTGGCCGGATTATTATATACACTGAGTGGCCGGATTATTATATACACTGAGTGGCCGGATTATTATGACCACCTGACGTTTGTAGGCAAATTAGCTATAATTTGGCGCTGAAGTTGCTAGAGGGCCAGACCATTATAAATAGGGAAGCGGGTTGGTTACCACGACAGTAGAAGTGATTGGGAAGATTCGGGGAAACAACGCGATGTAACAGCCTTGGAACGCGGGATGATTGTTGGCGCTCGGAGCCATGGAGCGAGTATCAGCAAAACAGCGGAATCCGTTACATGTTCAGGAGCAGCTCATTGTTAAAGTGTTAAAGACCGGACTATCAGCCGAAAATCTGGGTCTGAGCGTGCGAATTGTGGCCGTCAGCGACTAGTCAATGTTAGGGCAGAACGAGGGAGGGGCAAGACTGGTACAAGACAACAGAAGGGCAACAGCGCCGTGTCAGATTCCTCGCATCACCTTTCATCATCTCGTGGAGTCACGAGGCGGCCCAACGAAGTACTGATGGGGGGGGTGTCATAATAATCTGGCCGCTCAGTGTGTAAAAGTGGATTATCGTCAGGTTCCCCATAATAAAAATAGCACCTGATCCTATCTCTGCACGGCAACGCATTTTGAATAATGCAACATGTCCGTGTTTGTTATTTTTTGCATTGGGAGGCCCATAGAAGACAATGGCAAGCCATGAAGACGCATATAACGTGCATTTTGATGCATGGGCAACATGTATCGATAAACTTTGGCCAATGACCGTTAACTTTATCCACTCCAAGTCCAACCGTATAGATAATGTGGTGAATGTTACAAACCTCTGAGCTCCTTCTGTTTTGCACATTCATTCTTTGGTCACAGGGAATCATTGATCTTATCCTTTACACTTGCCATGCACCTGCTGCCCTGGAAATAAGGAATTTAGCCAAAAAATCTTCCTTTGCCCTGTATGGTTCTTCTTCCACTCTCAGCAAATGGACGGCCAGGGCCGGTGCTAGGATTCTTGCCTACACAGGCAAGGTGCATTTTTGCGCCCGACCCCCTGTAAAAACAGTACTTGTATTTGTCAAAATGCCCCGATGTTTGTGCTATGTTTTTTTTTTTCCACTTACCTTCGGCGCGAGAGAGCAGCGGCGAGTCAGCGCTGGTCCGTTGGGAGGAGCTCCAGGTGGGGTCCTAATTTAGCTGGCCGGCGACTGCCTGAGGTGCCGCGAGGGTCGGGATCCTCTATACATCGGGGCATTTTGACAAGTACTTGTCAAAATGCCCTGTTTTTTCCGCCCTCACCCTGCAGCGCCCTCAGGCGGCCGCCTGACTTGCCTTGCGGTAGCGCCGGGCCTGCGGACGGCTAGTGTTGGTCATGCAACAGATTTGCCTTTATCAATATGGCCTATATGGGGGTTTTATTTTAATGTTTCAGTCAAAAGCAGATCTGAAAATCTGCCGGCCCCATCAGATAAATCCAATTTGTCAATACAGTGGAGGTGTATACAGGTATAGACAGTATTATGTATAGCCATAGGTGTCCTTCAGCATGGCCCTATTGGCAGAGGTGATATTGGGGGTGGTGCTGTGGAGGTGACGTAGACAACCCTCCTTGTCAACTCTCTCCCTGGGAAATGCAGAACTTTTTTGGCTGTTACCCTGAAGCAGCAGCTACTGTACAGAGA